ACACGGCCTGCCCCGGTCGGCCCCCAGCCAGTCGGGGTGTGGCTGTGTGTCCCATATGAAAGGGACAGCCATGGGGTGTCTGCAGTTTGGAAACTCCCCTGGGAATGTGGGTTCCCTCCTGTCCTTCACAGCCCCTGGAACAGGGTGGGGTCCTCCCTCAGCTATCATGTGATTGTGCACATGCACACACATGCAGGACACACCCCACAGACACAAATGCAGACATGCCCCCACGCACATGCGGATACATACACTCCACTCACACAGAAACACTATATACAGACACACATAACACAGACACACATATACCACACAGCATACCACGACACACTACACAGACTCACATAACACACACACCACAGACACGTATGCATAGATAACACACACATACTCCACACACACTATACAGACATACATACCAAAGACACATTATCATACAGAGACATAGACACCCACGTCACACAAAGACACACATACACAGAGACCATACACATACACCACACACACCTAGCATAGATATACACCACACAAACACATACACATAGACACATACCACACACACACCACACGAATACACAAAGACATACACACATCACATATACATTTATTATAGTGTACATATACTGTATAGTCTATTATATATTATTCATAAACTATACACACATAGTACATGTATATTGTCCATATACTACATATATGATATATTATATATGGTATGCATATTATCCAGATACTACATGTATCATATATGTTTATGTGTGTATATGTGTATGCATGTGTATATGTGTGTGTATATATTATACATACAGTGCCAAGGTCACTCCTACCCACCACACGAATACACAAAGACATACACACATCACATATACATTTATTATAGTGTACATATACTGTATAGTCTATTATATATTATTCATAAACTATACACACATAGTACATGTATATTGTCCATATACTACATATATGATATATTATATATGGTATGCATATTATCCAGATACTACATGTATCATATATGTTTATGTGTGTATATGTGTATGCATGTGTATATGTGTGTGTATATATTATACATACAGTGCCAAGGTCACTCCTACCCACTATATCACCCAATCAACCACTGTAGGAGGAAACTTGAAAAACTTCATAGGAAAGTAAAATTGGAGTGCAAGTTTATCTTGGTACTTTCTTCATAGCACAATACCCAAGAACTTTTTGAGACCTCACCTACTCCACATTTGTTCTTAATGCAAAGTTCCAAGTGAGGGCAGATTCCTTCATGTTACAGGAGAATATCACAATGTTATCTATCCCCTGTTTCTGGGACTCAAAGTGGCATTTTGTAGGACTTTTGAGGCACCTCACTTTGGGGGGTTCCAGATCAAGGCCAGTCCTCACCCCCACCCTACCCCACTCCACTACCCAGAACAGCCCAAGCATCACTCACCCCATCCGTGTCATCATCTTCCTCGTCCAGGCAGTGCAGGGGGCTCACCTGGGGGTCCGCACGCACCCGCAGCTCCGCAACCATCCCCTACAGAGAGAGAGCGGTCACAGCAGCCCTTAACAGGAAACACAAGCCACAGGGGTCCAGCTCATGCCAGCTCCCTGCTTGGAGCTTGGGAGCCTGGGAAGGGTGAGGGTACAACACCCAGAGAGTGAGGAATCTCTGGTAACTCCCTCTGGACCGAGATACACCTGATGGTAGAAGAGGTGGCAGAGATACCCAGGGACAGGTGACGTGCTCACCCTATTCACCCGGAACCTCTGAGATTGCTGCTCCAACACATCCCAAACCACCAGTCACAGACTACCTGGTCTTTTTTGTTTGTTTTTTAGTTTTCATTATAGGGCACATGAGCTTTCCAGAGGGACAGATAGGGAAAGCGAGAATTGAACCTCCAGCTGGATGAGCACGCCACAATCCCTTCTCCTCTACTCTCACCTTGGGATTTGGGGGATGCATGCATACACACCCAGAGTGATTCTCAAGCCACCAGCTCCAGGACTTGAACCACAAAACTGGTCATGTGAGATCCAGTGCCTTACCCTCCATGCCACCTGCTGGCCCAGCAGACAAACTGTTTCACTAACAACATGCTTAAGAGCTGCTTATGTAGAAGGTAGCAGTTGTGGCCTGACCTAATCCTGGAGGAGGGACTGGGTCTGGGGAAGGGAATCACTGCTGAGCCTCCATTCCCTGGGCCAGTCCTGCTGCTCCTGGCTAGAGGCAAGGGCAGGTTTTACTTTCCCAGCACTTTCACCTTTTACAGAAAACAAAAGTCGAAACCAAGCTCAAAAGGCCAGGGTTACAGACACCCTGGAAGGAAGCTCACACCATCAGGCGCTGAGACCACAACAATCGTGCCTGCTCCCACCCTGAGCCACCACTGGGGACCCTGGGACATGCTGTCCCCCCCAGGAAAGGCACAGTGTTCACACGTCCTTTTCCGAATGTTTGGCTTCTTAGCGTCTTAACCCCCTGGGAAGTATTTTAGTGTATTTTTTCCTAAGTAAAAACGGTATTTCATCAATTCTAAGAGTCACACTTTAACAACTCTCAATGAAAGGGTGTAGATTAAGGCCTGGCAAACCTTTTCTATAAAGGGTCAGGTGGTAAATGGTTTTGGAATTTTCTTTCTTTCTTCCACGAATCAGAAGAAGAAAGGCATCCCCCAACATGGGAACCCACAACCCACTTGGGGTGCTCAGGGAGGTCTTGGGACATGGGCCCAGGACCTCTCCCAGGAGTGGGGTCCGTTTGTCAGCCAGATGGTGAAGCCCTCAGCGTTGTACTTCTGGCCTTGTACTGGGAAACTGACTACAACAAAGCGAACGCGTGAGCGTGGCCGTGGCTGTCCCCATAAACTTGCTCCATGGAAGTCAAAGTCTGAATTTCGTGTAATTTCCTCACGTAAAGAACTTTCTTCTGCTTTCGACTTTTCCATGCACTTAAGATTGTCACAGCCACTCTAGCTGTGTCTCGCAGCCTGGCTGTGCAGAGCCTGGTCTAGGTTCTTGTGTTGATCCTGTCAATGACCTTCAGACTCCTAGATGCATGATTCCTGACCTTCCTGCATCACATAGGAGTATGTGACAATGAACACCATCAGCGGGTCCCTGGCTGGGTCTGCCAGGCCTCTGCTCATCTCTCAGGGCTTAGCTTAGGCTACCTCCTCCAGGACGAGTTCCCTGATGCCCCCTCAGGATGGTTAACACCTCCCAGGACCAATGCTGCCATCCACTTCAAAATCTGCCCTCTACACCCTCATCCCCTGATGCATAAGCTATGTGGATATGTGTGTGCCTGCATGCACGTGTGTACAAATATGTGTGCGTACACAAACACACCTACACCCGCTTCTAGCAAAAGAAGAGGTGGCAGAGATACCCAGGGACAGGTGACGTGCTCACCCTATTCACCCGGAACCTCTGAGATTGCTGCTCCAACACATCCCAAACCACCAGTCACAGACTACCTGGTCTTTTTTGTTTGTTTTTTAGTTTTCATTATAGGGCACATGAGCTTTCCAGAGGGACAGATAGGGAAAGCGAGAATTGAACCTCCAGCTGGATGAGCACGCCACAATCCCTTCTCCTCTACTCTCACCTTGGGATTTGGGGGATGCATGCATACACACCCAGAGTGATTCTCAAGCCACCAGCTCCAGGACTTGAACCACAAAACTGGTCATGTGAGATCCAGTGCCTTACCCTCCATGCCACCTGCTGGCCCAGCAGACAAACTGTTTCACTAACAACATGCTTAAGAGCTGCTTATGTAGAAGGTAGCAGTTGTGGCCTGACCTAATCCTGGAGGAGGGACTGGGTCTGGGGAAGGGAATCACTGCTGAGCCTCCATTCCCTGGGCCAGTCCTGCTGCTCCTGGCTAGAGGCAAGGGCAGGTTTTACTTTCCCAGCACTTTCACCTTTTACAGAAAACAAAAGTCGAAACCAAGCTCAAAAGGCCAGGGTTACAGACACCCTGGAAGGAAGCTCACACCATCAGGCGCTGAGACCACAACAATCGTGCCTGCTCCCACCCTGAGCCACCACTGGGGACCCTGGGACATGCTGTCCCCCCCAGGAAAGGCACAGTGTTCACACGTCCTTTTCCGAATGTTTGGCTTCTTAGCGTCTTAACCCCCTGGGAAGTATTTTAGTGTATTTTTTCCTAAGTAAAAACGGTATTTCATCAATTCTAAGAGTCACACTTTAACAACTCTCAATGAAAGGGTGTAGATTAAGGCCTGGCAAACCTTTTCTATAAAGGGTCAGGTGGTAAATGGTTTTGGAATTTTCTTTCTTTCTTCCACGAATCAGAAGAAGAAAGGCATCCCCCAACATGGGAACCCACAAACCACTTGGGGTGCTCAGGGAGGTCTTGGGACATGGGCCCAGGACCTCTCCCAGGAGTGGGGTCCGTTTGTCAGCCAGATGGTGAAGCCCTCAGCGTTGTACTTCTGGCCTTGTACTGGGAAACTGACTACAACAAAGCGAACGCGTGAGCGTGGCCGTGGCTGTCCCCATAAACTTGCTCCATGGAAGTCAAAGTCTGAATTTCGTGTAATTTCCTCACGTAAAGAACTTTCTTCTGCTTTCGACTTTTCCATGCACTTAAGATTGTCACAGCCACTCTAGCTGTGTCTCGCAGCCTGGCTGTGCAGAGCCTGGTCTAGGTTCTTGTGTTGATCCTGTCAATGACCTTCAGACTCCTAGATGCATGATTCCTGACCTTCCTGCATCACATAGGAGTATGTGACAATGAACACCATCAGCGGGTCCCTGGCTGGGTCTGCCAGGCCTCTGCTCATCTCTCAGGGCTTAGCTTAGGCTACCTCCTCCAGGACGAGTTCCCTGATGCCCCCTCAGGATGGTTAACACCTCCCAGGACCAATGCTGCCATCCACTTCAAAATCTGCCCTCTACACCCTCATCCCCTGATGCATAAGCTATGTGGATATGTGTGTGCCTGCATGCACGTGTGTACAAATATGTGTGCGTACACAAACACACCTACACCCGCTTCTAGCAAAAGAACAAGAAACCAGGTGATTGCTAAGATCAGGCAGGAGAGGGGAGCAGGGCCTTGAGAGACCCCTGCAGCCCCAACATGATGACCCTGTCATTTTCCCAACTCTAAGCCAGGTCAATTCCCCAAGCTGCTGCAGAGAGGCTGATGTCATGGTGAAGGGCCATATGCAGCCACAAAACTGCTACCTCTCAGGCCCACAGTGAGGGAGGCCCCAAGGCGAGCTGCTGGACAATCACTTCCCCGGGGCCGAGTTGATCCAGGGAGGCAGAGAAATGGTTTCCACGTTCTCCCCACTTAACTGAGCATGTTCCGGAAGCCCAAGGTAGGAAACACCTGTGAGAACAGCATCCAGGCCGACCCTGTGGGCTGGAGCCGTGTGGCCCCCCACCCACAGCTCCACCCTAGTGGTCCCGCACACCATGGCACAGGCTGCCATACTGATTCTCAGTCACCTCAGGATGGTCAAAGGAACTAGAAGGTTCCACAGTGGGTGGCAGGCCATGGGGCATCCAGGGTGCACAGCAGCATACTGTCTGTGGGACAGTCCCCAGGCTTTTGGGTGGATGCACTGTAGGAAGTGGGTGGTTGTGCCCTTCCAGAAGCCTCAGGGCTAAAGACTCATTCTCTCTAATGAGAGAAGTGACCAGGCCCAGGGAACACTATCTCCCTATTCTTGTCCTCAGTGGCTGAGATGCACAGGGGCCACACGGACATCTGAGATTAACCCTTTCGTTCCCCCAGACCAGCAGACTCAGGTGTCCCTAAGGAGCCCAGCACTACCCCTATACTACCCCACTGCCCCTCCCGAGCCCCCTCTCAACTTACCCTCCTGCCCCACCTCTCCCAGGGCAGATTTCTACTGCCTTCCAAGGCTGTGGCCTGGAGGGCTTCCTGGGTCTTAGACCCGTCCCAAGCGTCCTCAGCACAGGAAAGCTCGGGACAGGCACCCGTGAAGCTTGACGGGAGGTGAGGCCAGCCCCTTCTCACAGCCCAGTGTCCTCAATGCTCCAGCCATCAGGGAACCCAGGCTGTGTCCAGGGCCAGGAAAGGACAGCCCCAGGGAGAAGGGAGTGGCCCCCCAGCCCATGAGGGCACTGTGGAGGCTGGCCATAGAGGGATATAGGAATGGGTATGACCAGTCACTCAGCACAGGGATCTGAGGGGCAGGAGGCCCTACCTCAGGAGGGGCATGAGGAACTAGGCGAGTGAGTGAGGAGAGTTGGCCGCAGCTGGTCCAGCTAAAAACCCCGGAATTCTGGGAACTTCAACTACCATGGAGGGATGGTCAGACACCCGGGAGGGGTGCTCATGTGAGAGCGCATTAGCATGTGATTATGGGTGACAGCACTGTGTGCGTGAGAGCACCTGATCAGGTGTACACACGTAAGCGTGCACGTGAACACATGTGTGAGTGTGATCACATGAGTATGAAGCACATATGTGCACAGCACGTATCATCTATCTGCATGTGTGTGAGAGAACAGTATGCAAGTGAGGGCATACATGCGTGTTGGGATGTGTGTGTGAGCACGTGTGTAGTGCAGCAGAGACAAGGAGCAGGGAACCCGGGGCCTTCCCCGATGTGTGCATTGGGCCGAGACCCACAGAAAGCACAGAGGATCCTCTGCTTTAAGGCAGGGGGAGAGGCTCTTCCTGCAAGTCAGCCTCCCGGGGTCAGGTTAGAGGTCAGGGGCTGGCATGCTAGAATCACCTCTGAGATACAAACTTTCAGCTCACCCCAACCTGCTGCAGGAGGGGAGGGGGGACGGGCATGGAATTTTAGAAAACAGCTTTAGGGGTAGGCCTAGGAGGCATTTTGGGAGGTCTCTGCTACAAGGAGGGCCTGAGTACTCTGTGGGTAGGTCCTACAGGGCTACAGGGGGCCTGTGACCAGTAGTAGGTGCTATGGCTTCTAAGCCAGGGACTCCCAGGACACGCTCAGAGCAGAAGGTGGCAGGAGTGCGAAGGGTACAGGCCACTGCAAATAGGAAAAAAGCCCAGAGGCCCAAAGATTATGACACTGAAGACATGAAGGGGTGAGGAGCACCACGCACAGCGTGCACAGGGCGGGCACGAGTCAAAGTCATGTGGTGGGCGCTGGCCACGAGGGGAGGCAGAGAGAGCCTGTTCTAGGGGTGAGACTCGGCCCAGGAGGCCATGCCTCCCCCTCCACCACCTCAACTCTTGTAGCTCCCATCCCACGGTGGCCCTCCCCAGGCAGCCCCACCTCCCCTCTCTATCTTTGACCCTTGTGGCTCAGCTCTCTCTAGGCAGCAGGCTCTGTGGCCTCCCAGTGCAGGACCTCCTGGCTGTTGCCCACTTGTCCTGGCTTCCTGGAGCCTCCTGAGCCTGGATAGGGGCAGGCCACTGTGCCACAGGCAAGCTGCCTTCTCTCTCCTTTCAGCGGGGTCAGCGGGTTGCATTAACACAGTGCCATTCTGTCCAGGTTATGCCAAGTGAGAGCAGAGTCAAAGAGGGGTTCCAAGTGCTGTCATGGGATGAAAGGGGTGACAAGAGACAGAAGAGTGGCTGCCTGAAGGCCCAGGACCCAGGGTGGTCAGGCTGAATGGTCAGACAGCTGGAGTGGGAAGAGAACACGCAAATCCCCAGGCGGAGGAGGCTGGGCTTCCTGAACACACAGCACATGGTCCAAGGGAGGTGAAGTCGGGAGAATACTCCCCAGATGTCTCAACAGAATGCGGCGCATGGCCAAGACAGCTGGAGTCCTGCTTGGCAGACACACGGCAATGCCTGCATGCACCGTGCTTGCCGGGAGGCGTTTGTCACTAAGTTCAACTTGAGAAGAACACATCTGAGCAGGCCAGTGATGCTCGGGAATTCCTTGGTGAGAAGAAATGGGGCCAGCACTGACAGGGGCCATGGTTCCAGGCACAGCTGACTCTCCCCTGAGCAGGGGTCAGGGCGGGAGGGCTGAGCAGCCCTACACAAGGGGATTCTAAAGGCCTCATTTCCTCTCAGCTCCCAGAGCCCTGTGTCCCATCTCACAAACTGCCAATATGAATGGATCCTTCCTAAGACCTCAATTCATAACTCTCCACAAGAACCTTGGGCTAAAGCAATTTTGCCTCCTAGGCTACTACACCCTAGGCTGCCCCTCTCCTCGGCTGGAATTGGACCTAAAGCCACAAAGAAAATTCCCGGAACATCCAGTCTGTGGACCAGGACAGGAGCCTGGCAGCTAAAACAGATGGGATACAGCCTGCCACAGCTGAGGACACACAGGGACCTTAAGCTCCCCTCCACCTTTCCAACCTAAGGGATTTTGCTGGCATGCTACAAGTCATGGGGTCTTCTCAGGGCCAGATTAACCATGCAAACACTTCACACATCTCAGTGGTTTAAAAAAGTGCCAAAGAGGGACCAACAGATGACATAATGGTTACATCACTGGACTCCCACATAGTTGACCACAGTTTGGGTCCCAGACCTGGTGGCTTAAACCTCACGTCAGGTGTGTGGGTATGTGTGCCCAAGATCCTGAGAGGAGAATGGAGAAGAGATTGTGCCCTGGCCACTCTCTCCCCTATCCCTCCCCCGTAGGTGATTTCTCGCTTTCTGTCTCTGTCTCTCTGGTGAGAACATGTGCCCTATAGCAAAAATCTCTCTCTCTAAAAAACAAAAAGTCAGCAATAAACTGGGGAATACAACCGATAGCATGCAGGGCTGGCCCTGTAGTGCACTGGGTAAGCCTGTGCATTGGAACCCAATGGATCCCACACAGCCAGTCTAAAAATCCTAGCCCCAGCAGCTTGAAAAAAAGCTGGGTGTGCATGCATGCCCAAAATCCTGACAGGAAAGAAAAAAGGAAGAAAAAGGATTGCAACATTACTACCCCCTTTGATGGGTTCTCTGTCTAAACCCCTTTCTCTCTCTCTTTCACTCTCATTCTCACTTTAGCAAAGTGAATGTACTCCCTGGCAATAAAAACTTTTAAAATATTTGCAGCATGCAAAATTAAGGATTAGTTTCTTTCATATATAAAGAGTTTCTATAAATCAATAGAAAATGACAGAATCCATAAAAAATGTAAGGAATATAGTCAGATCAGACACAAAAAAATAGGAATACAAAACTATTCAATAAATGGGTGAAAACATAACACTTTGTTTTGGAGCCAGCCCCATATCCTAGTGGTTAAGAGAGCTGGACTCCACACGGCTGACTGGGATCGAAATCCCAGCCCCACAGCTTGAAAATCATGCCAGGCATGTGTGCGTGCCTGCCCCAAATCCCAACAGGATGGAGAGATGAGGAGAAGGGATTGCAGTGTGACCATGTCCAATCAGTGTTTCTCCCTCTGTCTCTGTCTCTTTCTGAGGAGTGCAAGTGTTACCTGACGAAAAAAATTAAAAAAATAAAAGTTTGCTTCCCTAACAGGCTAAGGCTTACAGATTAAAATACCCAGATACCGTGTGCCTACGTACCCACTGGAACACATGTTTCCCACAGAGGGCAGGCAGCACCGGCAAGGCCAGGGCAGGGTCCCATGCTGCAGGGATGACTGAGGCCCTGCTCTCAGCAGCCAGCCAAGGCGCAGGTGCACGCTCAATGACACGCCATCACTGACAGCCTTTCTGTCAGTGTTGGAGATGTCCAGAACTTTTGGAAACTTACTGTATCAAGAAATGGCTGGGAGATCACAGCCGAGGGCTGTTACTAGAGAGGGTGACTCTCGGTGAACCTTCCCATTAATCATGTGCAAGGATCAAAAGCAAAGCACAAAGAGGCCCAGTTTGGTGTCAAAGTCCTGGCAGCTCCTAAACCCTGAGGGTTAAAAGTGCCTGCCAAGGGTCAAAGGTCAGCTTTCAGAACCCTGAGACACCAGGACTTAGCACAACTTCAAACAAGCAGCCTTTGTCTGGCCAATAATTAACCTTCTGTCCCTAGGACATGCCCCTGAGCACACTGGGACCCCTGTGTGGACCACAGGGCAGGGGCACCCCAGTAGCAGATTGGCCTGGATATGAAAATCCAGGGCTGATGAGTCAGCCCAAGGGCACCCACACAGCCCTTTCCAGGAGGCTGGCATCTCAGACCCTACCCAGCCATCGAGGGAGCATTCCCAGCTATACCTGGTAGACAGCTGCTTGCTCACCACTGTGGGGGAGTTCCACCCACATTGCCGTCAGGTGACATGCATAAATGATCTGGGCTCCCCATGACCCGTGGTCCCTCACAGCACCCAGCAACCGCCCCTGGATGTGCCCCACTCAGTTTACGGCTCTGCCTGCAATTCTTCCACGCTTTCTTAACATGGACCACAAGCTTTCACTTTGCAAGGGCAACACCGACTGTGTGGTTAGGCCTGGGCTCAGCCCCACACTCTCAGGGTATAGAGGGGGTATGCATGGGGGTGCTGATGGGCAGGTGGGCATCTAGTTACCAAGCAGTCTCAAAGACAGCTGAACTTTCTTGCTGGGCCCTGGGGTCTCAGAAACCACACAGTCCCAAGAGGTCACCCCTACCCCTCCACCAGCCTGGGGTTACCTGGAACTTGTCAGGATCTGCTTCGCCGGCCTGGGCCACAAAGAGGCCAGCTCCAGGCTCCAGCTCCAGGCCCCGTGAAGATCGAGCCAGTGGTGCCCTCTGGACCTCCTCGCAGTCCACGTAGAGTGCCACGGAGCTGCCATCCACGCTGAGTGCAAGGCGCGTCCACTGGCCAACCAGGGTGGGCAGGCGGAAGCGGGCAGCTGTGTGAGTCTGACTGGCACCCGGCTCAGTGTAGAGCAGCGTCAGGTATTGGTGCCCATCCTGTACTGCTGAGAGCTTCACGCCCAGCAAGACCACAGCCTGTGCTGCATCTGTGATGGCAAACAGCACCCCTGAGCCCGGTGCAGCTGGCCGCACATGAAACAGCAGCGAGAAATCACGGAAGAAGGGGCTGGGGAAGTGGAACCGTGCTGCACGGCCACCGCTGGCATCTGCTCCGAAGACATAGGCCGGCCCTACTTCGGGGTCCTCGATCCGGGCCACCTGTTGGGGTGGAGGCTCCCCGAGAAGCTGCAGCAGCCCCACCTCCTCGTTGACATGCTCTGCAAATAGGAAAACACACCTGTTGAGTGGCCCAGGGTGACAGGGGCCAGGCAGGGCACAATGGGGAAACACAGTCTGGAGGGCTCACCCATGCCCCTGGCTACTACCCTGCCCCCTCTGGGCCCTGTGCCTGTGACCAGCCTATAGACACCTGGACAGTGCTCTCTGTGCAGAAAACTGTCTGCAACGGACATGGCAGCCACAGGCCACTGTACTCCTGGCCACACATTCCAACCATCACCGCCTCAGTGGAGGGGCTCCTGAAGATGCCCACAG